ATAATAATAATAATAATAATAATAATAACAACAATATAACTAATAATACCAATAATAAAATCAATTGCAGTAGAGTTACAGAGGGGATAATAATAATATTTTTATGTACATATGTAAACTATTGGTATTTAAAATGTATTTTATGTCCTTTTAAAACAGACCTGTTGTAGCCTGTCCTACACACACAGCCCACCAACCCCCACCTCTCCCGCAGCAGCTTGCTCTCACTCATTTATCTTTTGTGTCTTCTCCTCTGTTAAAAATATTGGGGACAGGAATCTGTGTGCATTTGTTTTCATGTGACTTCACTCAAACGTTAGCCGTTACCTTAGAGAAACGTAATGGCTAGGTTTCTCCAAGCTGGTGTCTCTTTAGGAGGTCTGAGAGTTGTGTAACTGACACAGCGCCACTTGCAGTACAGCGGTGAACAGTGTAAGTGCACTGTACTGTTTCAGAACCATTACACTGAACTGCGAACCGTTCACTTCCAGGTAGTTCTCCACAAGTGTGACTCAGCATTACTTCCTGAACAGTACAGCCGTGAATAAAACACAACTCTGTGCCCTTCTTTGTGATTCAGTATCACATGTAGACATTTTCTCATAGTGGGGGTAGCACTCATGCTRTTAGCATTAGCATGTTTCTCCAAGTTAATGACTAATGTTGAGGGGCTTTGGGAAAGGCTTTACTGTTATCCTTCTTTAACCAGTCAAAACCAGTTTCAATGTGTTTGCTGGAAAACACAATTCTGTCCAGATTTAAACAACATACATAGATGCTGATTTGAGGAGAATTTGGAGGATAAAAAAAAGTTACATTTTGTCTTGTCTGACCATAAACTCTATCTCCCAAAGGCATTTATTTGGTCTGTGTGGGCAGCTGCTGATTTTTTTCCCCAACATGACATCATCACAACATGGCAACATAAAACCTGCTTCTCAGCAGACAGTGACACTAGTGTTTCAGCAGTTTCCAGTTTATGACGGGCTTAAATGTTTATGGTTTCTGGGTATTTCTGAACATGCTATCCAGCGTCCTTTCATTTGCACATTATTTTTCTGCTGGCAAAAAGAAACTACCAGCTGTAGTCAATCATGATCACTAATGAGAAATCAATACTGTATATCTTGTTCTTGTAAAGAGAAGAATTTCTAGAACTTTCAGCACCACATATTAAACGATTTAGGTATTTTTGATACTAAAAATATTTTTAAACAGATGACTGGTTTTTTTTTTCACCTACTAGAAAGGTTTATGTATTCCCCTCTTTGATCTATCATACACAGCAGATGGACAGCTCACAACTACAAGTAGGGAAAGGCTCATGCTGCTCTGYTTCAAATGCAACCAGACAGAATGCTGCACTGTCTCTGGCTTTTGACTGAAGGGAGTTTGAACCTCAGGCACAGAAAAATGTTGTGGTTTTGACTCTGGCTTTTTAACACTGTGGTAAACCCTGAAACAAGAAACCAGGCCATACATAAACAGATTGTGTGTTTCAGATATTTTTATAAAGCTTTTTTTCCCCCAAAGCAAATCTACAATGACATTGTTTGTCATAATGTATTACCAAGTTTAAGATCAAGTTAATTGGAAGGTATCAATATAGTTGCCTCTATGGGTGTCAATACCAGTTTTTCCCAAACCGGGTACAAGTACTTAAGTTTGTGTACTCACCAAAGCAGAGTACTTACTGGGTTAGAACTTAAACAGTATACACTGGCTTTAAAAATGCATTTCTTGTATTTAGAAAAAAATGTCTCTCCTTTATAGGCAAACAGYCCATCTGACTGGATCAAATCAAATATACAGCATATTTACTGTTACAAAAGTTTTTAAATAAAAGAAAAAATAACAAAACAGGTTTTCTTTGAATTAGTAAAAAATGTCTTAAACATGAGACTGACAAACTTTGCACTTGAAATGCAAACTCTAGCCCATTTAATGGTGCATTGTTATTAGGATCCAGATATCGATACAGGTTTTGGTATTGAGCATCAGGGCATTTTGTACAATCACTTGAAAAACACTAGTGTTGGACTTAAAATCATTAACAGTATCTATTTCGGGACACCACTCCTTGCCTCCCGTACAACTTTTGGAGTTTTGGATGACTGAGAATTTACTCCAAAATTGGCACCTTCAATTGTTTCAAACTACACAAGAAACCCAGGTGATCACTCAGACAAATGTTTTGGACATTGAACTAATCCCTTTTAACAGACGRAACTAAAACACTTCTGTTCTTGCAGTAGCGGCTTGTTCAGTATGTCATTAAAATTTGTGTTGYTGCATACGAAACACTAAATGAGAAGTTAAACACCACAAATTGTGCATGTTTTAACAGAATTTGTTCTTTCTTTACAGCCTTGAATGCAGAACCTGTGTAGTCATAGGAAATGGCTACGTGGTTAAAAACAGCTCATTAGGAAGCCTCATCAATAAATATGATGTTGTCATTAGGTGAGCAAGAATCACATTAACAATTTCCTCATTTTAAATGCATTTACTTATTGTTGCCTGTTTGTACAGCATGGTGCATATCTGTTCACATTCTTCTTTTTTACKTTTGTTCTGCTTTGAAAATATTTACACACTATTAAACCACAAACCCATAGTAAATAAAACTTTTTAGCTACAATTTCAAACTTCTGCCTACCACATTTATTGCCTCTTGAGCCAGAAGTTCACATTGTATGTGTATGATATAGAGATACTGTATAACAGAAAGATTAACATCAAGGAAACTATTTTAAGCCATATGACCTTTTTTCTACTTCTTYTGTAACTAGAAAATTAGRAACAGATTTATTTGTTCCGAATCCATGAAAGCGAGATTTAAAATGACCCCTTTGACACACAGCCATCCCTTCTGCTAGTAACAGTTTGGGGTCAAATAAAAAAAAGAGAGGAAAGTATTCAGTTTACTCAAGGACAAATGTTCTTAGCTAATCCAACACTGAGCCTTGGAATGCACACATGCATTCTGACTTTTTATAAACTTTTCTAAAAAAAGGAGAATTTGGCTTGTCCACAATGCATTTTTGTGTTCCCTCTCCTCCCTTTTCCTTCACATCTCTCCTTTTCTTCTCCAAAGCTGTGTTGAGAATTTTTTTTTTCTCTGGACCAAAACCATGTTAAAATTTTTAGCATTTAGAGTTTGACATGGTGGAGCTAGTTGTCAGAGAAACACAGCTTGACTTCTTAAAATCCTGCTGAGTTTTAGGTTTCTGAGGTGCAGTTTATTCATTGCACCTGATAAGGTCTCAGCCTGGGCTACTGTGTAATAACTGGAGAAGGATTTAGCTCTGCTGGAATTTCAAAGTTTCCTGAGACTACTTTACTTTCAAGTCTGTTGAAAGTAGTAAAAAAAGTGGGTGTTTCTTGAAGGAAGGTTGGTGTGACATTTTAACCTCGGGAGTCTTGTACAGCAAATTTTATGAGTAAAACCAAATAAGTTATGAGAAAAAAGATTTTGGAGACTCACTTTTTAATATAATTAACCATTTTTTAATGTTTTTTTTTTTTTTACAAAAACAGAGGAACTGTTTGCTAGATGGCTTTCTAATGAACTTGTTTTGTTAGATCACAATGGATATAGCAAGAGAATTTTGTTGCTACAAATTTGACTAAAAACTGGTTTCAGCTTGTAAAACAAAGCCAAAATTAGACTTTGTCTTCATGTAAAACATACATGTTTAGATAAATAATACTCATTGTTATTGAAAGTATATTGTGGTGTTCCTCAAAGTTCAGTACTTGGACTATTTCGAGTCTTTTGGACACAAATTATATTTGTATGGTTTCTAACAAATCGCTATCAGTAGTGACATTAGTAAAAAGACTAGACCATGAAGATGAGCAGAAATGTATGTAATGTCAGTTGTGGAGTTCCACAAGGATCAGTTCTTGGTCCTTTGCTTTTTTCTCTATAATAATGATATTACTGTGATTTCAAAATTGGTTATGTCTATATTATTTGCAGATGACACAACTTTGTTTTACTCAGGAGAAAATATTAATGTTAGAGGTGGTACAAAATGAATTTATAAAAACCAAAAAATGGTTTGATAGGAATAAACTATCCTTAAAAATCAGGAAAATAAAGTGTAGGATTTTTTTGTAGTAATAGAAAAATGTTGATGAACTGTTACATGTTGATGAAGTGGAGATAGAAAAGATAATATAAAGTAATATTTTGGGTGTTCTTATTGATGAACATTTGTCAAGGAAGCCTTACTTAAATTATATAAAGGGTAAAATATCCAAGATTGTTGCCATTCTAAACAAGGTAAAGGTATTATTGAACAAGAAAACTTTGTATATTTTGTATAATTCATTGATTGTTCATATCGACAAATTGTATGGAGGTGTGGGGTAGTGCCTGTGAGACATATTAAGTCTTCCTTTTACAGAAAATAGCTGTCAGAATTATTGCCAGAAGTAGTTATAAAGATCATACAAATCCAATATTTTTAAAGTTAAACCTATTGAAAATTCATGATTTGATTGATTATAATACATTAAAAATCATAAAAAAATATTACCAAGCAACATCCAAAATGTCCTGATGCATCTCAATAATCCAGGTAAAAAATCAAAAGGAAAAAAAATGTATAGGTCCTCTGGACGGGTTCTTCTTTAATGAAACGTTTCGTCTCTCTTCCAAGAGACTTCTTCAGTCTGAGAGGACCTATACAATTTTTTTTCCTTTTGATTTTTTACCTGGATTACTGAGATGCATCAGGACAATTTGGCATTATCTTAATTGTTGAACTCAGGCATCCAAGTCAGGGTTTGGCTATTAACTCTTAAGCCATTTTACTCAAGGTTCTGCTTCCAACTATCAGGCAAAACTTTGCTGAAAGCTTTTTCTCCAACATTTCTATGCCACAATGCACAAAGCAAGGCCAATTAAAACAGACGTCTGATCTGAACCCCATCAGGCACTTTGGGTAAAATGGAAGAACTATTGCAAGCTATTGCTTTTTTGTCCAACAACAGTACATGACCTGATACATTTTCTACAGTAATTCCCACAAAAATATTTTTTTTCCTGCTTCAGCCTTCAGAGGAGTCAGACGTGCTTTTGCTCTACCCTGAACCTGCCGCCCCCCTGCCCTGCTACTTTGCTGCACTTTCAAGCCTTTTTTTCACCTACTATCCAAAATATAAAGTTTTATCTTATCTTATCTTATCTTATCTTATCTTATCTTATCTTATCTTATCTTATCTTATCTTATCTTATCTT